GGATCAGACAGGGGAGGGGGGGAATTCCTGCAGGGAGCCGTGAGTGACAGTCACGGCTCTCTGCAGGGATAGATCGAGAAGTGAGTGAGCGACTTCCCGATCTACTGAGCCGACCTGTGACAGTTTCATTGTCACAGGTTGGCTCTGATTATGAGGCTGAGTGAAAATCACTCACCTCATAATTCTCCTTTAACCGGAGTTGGGATTTGAAGGGCTCAGCGTGGAAGACGGTTCCCTTGGCAGGAGGTTTCTCTTTGGGGAACATCTCTCCCCAGGCTTCTCCCAGAAGGGCTTGAAGGACATCATTGACAGTTTCACGATGGCAATTGCCCGGATAAGGCAAGTTCTGCACATGGTTGAAAGTCAGAGAAAATTGTGAAGGGAAGCTTAGGAAGAATATTGCTGAAACGTGAAATCAAAATCTGGTTCTCTACGACTGGTTCGCTGAAGAAACTCTTAGCTAGAAATAAACAGCCAGAGGAATCATTTATACAGAAAGCAGACAGATAAACAGGATGAAAAAGTATTTGGCTGCTCTCGTCTCTTGTCTGTTATGGTTTCGGAAGGAAAATTATTTTTCTTTGGGCAGAGATCAGTTACATTCCCTTCAAGCCGGTTGAGTCAGCTTACGCATGTAACAGTTGTCAACTTTTTTTTCCTCTGTACTGTATCTGTGGAGAAGCAGTGTTGTCACCCAAGAATAGGAAGTGTGTCAAGAAGAGGTGCATCTACAACAAAATGTGCCCCTGGCATTCCACCCAGCTCCTGGCAACCAGTGATGTCACTGGTTGCCAGGAGCTGGGCAGGGCGCCGGCCAGAGAGTCCCAGGTTGCTAAGAGGTGGACAGGGAGATGTGTATGAGCCATATACATCTCCCTGCCCAGTTCCTAGCAACCTGAGACACTGTGGCTGGTGTCTCACCCAGCTCCTGGCAACCAGTGATGTCAATGGTTGACAGGAGCCGGGCGGGGCACTGGCCGGAGTGTCCAGCCCTCATACACATCTCCGCACTCAGCTCTTAGCCACCAGAACTAGATGTGAATGGCCCTTACACATCTCCCCGCCCGACTCTTAACAACCTGGGATGCTCTGACCGGTGTTCCTCCCAGCTCCTGGCAACCAGTGACGACACTGGTTGCCAGGAGCTGAGTGGCATGCTGGACAGAGCTTCCATGGTAGCTAAGAGCCGGGTGGGGAGATGTGCATGGAAAAGGAACAAGTCAGCTGTCCCCGTGGGTCGGCAATCTTTCGCTGACCAGTGGCGCCCAGAGAATGTGCCATATGTGCCATACCCTGGATACTCCACTGGTGTCAGGACCACAGAACGCCTCCCCCATCCTCATCTCCATTACAAATGGAGGGAAAGCAGATAACAATGAGCGTGATTTCAGTTCAGCACACAGGAAGTTAATAGGATTCTGCATTTCTATCAGGGTCAGCAGGTGATTTCTGTACTTGCAGAAAATGTTCCTAGCCTGAAAAAAGAAAACCAACGCAGCCTATGGTAAGCTGAAATATATACATTATTTGCTCTTGGGTTTAGAGTTCTTTTTTAAGGTTTGCGGTACTTTACCTGGAATGCGCCTTGTTCTTGCTCAGGGCCCTGCCGATGGCAGACGAAGAACGTCTTCTTTGCACCGAGGCTTTCATTTTCTGCAATAAAAGCAATAGTGGAAGTGCAGTTAGCAGAGCAAAACCAATGACTCAATAAAACATGAAATGCAGATTTGCCCAAATTTATGGGTATATTTCATGGCTCAAAGCCAGAAACTTTGAAATGAGGAACAGTTGTTCAGCTTCATGATGACTGACCTCAGCTTAGTATGTAGAGATGCCCACACATGTGTAAGCCAATACTTTACAACTAGGAGCAGCATAGTTAGCCCACCATGTGTGCTCCTTGAGGTCTATAAGATAGGCAACCCAACAATAGGCTAAGGAAGCTCATGCGGCAGGCTGGTATCACTACTGTGAATTGCGTGGCAGTACCTTAGTGTTGTCAGATTGCAACAGGAAGTGCTATTACTGGCGGAAACTTTGCAATAGATTCACAAAAATACTATTTGCTTAAGAACACTGTATACAGTGAGACACGATCAAGGCCATCCTTATAATGAAGCAGTCTGTGGTGGTTGCCCAAGGAGGCATCTCATTGGGTCATGGGGGGGGGACACAAAGGTGGGCCTGCCGCCCCCTTTCCGGCCAGAGCCCCCTAGGTTGCTAGAGCTCAGTGAGCTTGGGCGCCATACACAGCTCCACGCCTGGCGATTCACAACACTCTGGCTGGCATCCCGACCAGCTCCTGGCAACCAGTTACATCACTGGTTGGCAGGAGCCACGTAGGGAGGCTGGCCATAGCATCCAGCCTTCCTACACATCTTTCTGCCTCCTCTGGTTGCTAAGAGCCGGCTCTTAGCATCCTGGCCAGGTCCTGGCAACCAGAGGCATCTCTGGTTGGCAAGAGCTGGAAGGGACGCCGGCCATAACGTCTCTGGTTTCTAAAAGTCAGGCAGGTAGATATGTATGGAAGAGGGGTGGAGAGAGAATAAAAGTTAGCTGTCTCCGTGGCATGGGTATGACACATATGGCACATGCCCTGGGAGCCACTTGAAGGGGTTCAAGTGGCGCCAGGGGCATGTACCATATGTGTCATACCCTGGATACGCCACCGCCTCCCACACATTTACATGATGGTGTAATACGTGCAGAATCATGCATGGGTACGTTTACCAGAAGCTCAGTGGGGCTTTAACTCCAGTGACTGAAGACAGCCCCAAAAAATGTATGTTTACAAAAATGTTTTAAAAAGGGAAGAGGGGGAAGTAGGAGGTGCTCAGTCACTAGGAAGCTCTGCCCAACCTAGGGTCAGCATTCACTAACAAAGCCTACAGCTGATCCTGACCATGGTGCACCACCCACCATGCAAGTCACCAACCCCAAGCCCCTAAAAAGAGTAATAGGACCTTATAAGGGTCATTAACTATAACTTGCAGTCGAAAACTCCCAGAACTCTTGCTTATGACAGTCCCTGTCTACCAAATGTGGTCCGGCTTTGTCACATGGGCTTCCAATGGAGACTACAATTGGCCATATCACCACACATTAAAATGACATGGCCCACTGTGGTGACCATCAGGAAACCCGCCCTGAGAAATTCCATGCAACCATCACCGGAGGGCATGAAGAACAACTTGTGCTCAGAACTATTGTTTTTGTTGTTTCTTCACCATGGCACTTACTGGCTTGAGCAACCATTTACGTCTTAATATGTTGTAATGTGGGTAACGAGGATCGCTGCTGACGTTAGGGCTTCCCCGCGTCCCACAGATCTCGACCGGAGATGTGTTCTTATAAAGCATTTCCCGCTTCCCGCTAAGTCATTCCAAACTGGGAGCTGTTCCTTTTGGTGAAGCCATATTGGGTAACGGACTTCGACTTTGACTGGGCTTCGATTTTCAACCTGTCACTTGGACAGGCTCGTCAACAAATCTGTCTCTTTGTTATGTTGCCGAGGCAACTCCCCATTGCTTCAGTACGCAATGCTGTAAATGCGCACTATCCGTCAGCTAACTGCCAGCTCCAGATCTGTATTTCTTGGCACAGGATGATCTCAATATTGTTCATTTTAAACCCATTTATGGCTTAAAGCAACATTAAAGTTGTCTTGTTTTTAATCTCCTCCAGTTAAATACTTGTAGTTAAAGATATATTGTACCGCGTCCAAGAAAAAAAAGTCCAAAACATGAAAACGCGGTGGACAACAGAAACGTAAACCAAATAGTATATTCAGAACACAGATATTCAATAAATAAACCTATGAAACCAGAGAAATCTTATGCAGTTTCTACACCTATATGCTTCAAGGGACACTATAGGGCCAACTGTTTCTGGAAACCTGACCTTCACACCTAAAGGAGCTTGTTGGGCACCCCATTCCAAAACCATGGCCAATAATATGGAGCTGCCCCACGTCCATGGCCATTAATATGGAGCTGCCCCACGTCCATGGCCTTTAATATGGAACTGCCCCAAGTCCATGGCCATTGATATGGAGCTACTCCCCGTCCATGGCCATTAATATGGAGCTGCCCCACGTTCATGGCCTTTAATATGGAGCTGTCCCACGTCCATGGCCATTAATATGGAACTGCCCCAAGTCCATGGCCATTGATATGGAGCTGCTCCCTGTCCATGGCCATTAATATGGAGCTGCCCCACGTCCATGGCCATTAATATGGAGCTGCCCCATATCCATGGCCTTTAATATGGAACTGCCCCAAGGCCATGGCCATTGATATGGAGCTACTCCCCGTCCATGGCCATTAATATGGAGCTGCCCCACGTTCATGGCCTTTAATATGGAGCTGTTAATATAGAGTTGGTCTCCATTTGCAGCTATAATATCCTCCACTCCTCTGGGAAGGGTTTCCACAGGATTCTGGAAAAGGTGTTGTGAGGTGAGGTCAGGTACTGATGTTGGATGAGAAGACCTGGCTCTGTGAAGGACACTCACGTTCCTCAACACCAAACTGGTCAAACCATGTCCTTACACTGTATATCCAGATGTTCGTAGACAAGGAGCCGTTCATTGGAAATCCCTGAACTACATCATTGGAAGAGTTCCAATTCATTCCAAAGGATGTTGTTGGATGAGAAGACCTGGCTCTCGATTACCATTTTAATTCATCCCAATAGTGTTCAGTAGGGTTGAGGTCAGGGCTTGGTGCAGGACACTCAAGTTCCTCCACAACAAGCTGGTCAAACCATGTCTTTATGGATTTGGTTTTGATTACAGGGGCACTGTTCGTGGCTATAAAACCCTCCACTCTTCTGGGAAGACTTTCCACAAGATTTTGGAGAGTGTCTGTGGGAATTTGTCCCATTTGTGAGGTCAGGTACTGATGTTGGATGAGAAGACCTGGCTTACAATTGGTGTTCCAATTGATCCCAAAGGTGTTAAGTAGGGTTGAGGTCAGGTACTGATGTTCGATGAGAAGACCTGGCTCATAGGTGGTGTTCCAATTCATACCAATGGTGTTCAGTAGGGTTGAGGTCAGGGCTCTGTGCAGGACACTCGAGTTCCTCCACACCAAGCTGGCCAAACCATGTCTTTATGGAGCTGGCTTTGTGCAGCTGAACTCAATAATTTGGAGGGGTGTCCACATATGTTTGGCCATAACACACAAATTAATACAACTCTGTATTTAAAAGAAATCTTTGCCTAGTGGAATGGAAATGTCTCCAACAGGAGAACAAATTGAAATACGAGCAACACGCTCAAATGTCCAACGAATTGTTTTCATTCCCTTACAGTGTGCAGAGAAATCAGAGAAAGCAATTTCAATCCAGGAGAGGAGCCGGTACAACTGTGCGAGCCTGGAGGGAAGGACGGAGTTCAGCTTTAAATAATAAGTACAACTACCCTACAAAGACAAGAAATGCGTTGGCTCCGGAGCCGAACAAGCATGACAATAATCTGCGCGCCGCTATATAAACAGACGGGGGGGAACGCTTTATATCATTTCTCTTCTTCAAAACACGTTCGCTAAGCGATAAATCGCCTGCAGTAGAAATGCTTTTATTTGGATTAGATGAGGCGGGAAAAAACGGAGCCGAGCCACCGCTGGTTACGCTTGTTGGCTACCTAAGAGGCATCCACCATAAAAATCAATTTTCAGCACAGGAGAGCGAACTTTCAGGGCGTTTGTTCAGTTGACGTTCGGCCAAACGTTTTAAAGGAGAACTACGAGGCGAGTGATTTTCACTCAACCTCATAGTTCGAGCCGACGTGTGACAATGAAACTGTCGCACGTCGGCTCAATAGATCGGGAACACATACCGGCGCTCGCTCACTTCTCGATCCTGTGTCGGCAGAGAGCCGTGACTGCCACTCACCGCTGCCCGCAGGGATTTCCCCCCCTCCCCGCTCCGATCCTCCAGCGCTGACTGGCGGAACGGACGGGGGAGGGGGCAGGTACAGCTGGCTCTGCCTCTAGATAGGCAGAGCCAGCTGTCAATCACGCAGCTGGGTGGATCTCAACAGTAATGTCGGGATCCCTCCCGGCTGTGGCGGTCTCAGTATACCGTGAGCTGCAGCCTGCTATATACTGAGCTTTGGGTGACGGGAGGACGCTAGTTTACGTCCTCCCGTGATCCTTAGGAGAACTATGGGGAAAAACACTTACCCCATAGTTCTCCTTTAATAAATTTGCGAACCTCCAGAATTTCGAATTTGCCATCTGGATTTCCCTTTGGCAGTTAATGGAACCAAAAAAGGGTGCAAAGGTGTGTAGGACGGATCGGGAAGTCCGGCCTGATGGGGCCAAAATACAGCCTGAGCCACGTCCAAAGGTGTGGTAAAGTCCCGGCATATCCTCCCTTGTTATCACATCAGCATTGTCATAGGAATACATACTATAGACATGCCAGGATCCCATTCTATTTTTAGGGGGAGATGTGCCCATGGCAGCTTCCAGTGGCCCTGAGGAGTACGGCTTTCCCAGCAGAATCGAATGGGACTGTGGCACACATTTATACAGAATGAAGAGGACCTGTCACATGAGCATTGTAATAGGAATACATACTCGAGATGTTTCTGATAATACAATCAAAGCTTACTTGTATTCCCAGCGTGCTTTGTCTCTCTTTTTTGA